GCCACATGATCATGGCCAACCCCCAGATGCAGCAGTTGATGGAGCGGAACCCCGAGATCAGCCACATGCTCAACAACCCCGAGCTCATGCGGCAGGTGGGTAGGGCAGAAGGCTGGAGGGTGGAGAGGCACCTGGCACCAGCCTCTCCGACATCCATTTGTTCATTCACTCACTTAGCAGCCACGTTTTGGACGTTTGAGGTACAGGGATAAAAAGATTCATGCCTAGCTTTCTAGGAACTCCTGGTGTCCAAGGGAAGGGGACAAGTGAATGGGCAATTATAGAACAGTGTGGTCGTTGCTGTCCTAAGCGCAGTCACCAGTGTCCTAAGGATAATCACAGCATAAGAAAGGGCTTCTGACCCTATCCTGGGGCTTGGAGAAGGCCTGGTGGAGGAGGTGTCACCTAGCTGAGACCCAAAGGAAGAAGGTGGGTAAACCAGGGGAAGAAAGAAAAAAAAAAAACTCAAGGTCAAGGGACAGTAAAGCAAAGCCCTGGAAATAAGAGACAGTAGGAAGTTGGAGAGCATTATTATGGCTGAGTAGGTCTGGGGAAGAGGCCCAGCAGAGGCTGTTTGAGTGTTGGTGTTTGGGGACTTCATCTCATGGTCCAGTCCACCAGGGGACGAGAGCAGATGGTCCTCCCAACGGAGTTGTGGACACCAGTGCAGGACTCACCAAAAGACAGCTTCTGCTAGGAGAGTTGTTCCTTGTCTAAAACTGTGCCTCTATGTAGTGGTCACTCAGTAAGTACTGATTGGGTATTTGGACTATGGGACAAGTGGGAGTTCTGTGAAGGCAGGTGTATAGTCTGGAAAGCAGTCTTAGAAGAGGCAGGTGTGGAACAGATGTTGGAACAATGAGAGGGAAGGTGTTCCAAGTTGGATGGGAATAAGAAGTAGCTTGCTCTTGTCATAAATCCCCTGGTGTGGATTCAGGCCATGGGCACCAGAACAGAAAGCCCCCATCTTCAGTGTGGCTTAAGGCTCAGTCAGGCCGAAGACTCGGGTGGTGGTCAGGGGGTGTGTGGAGCACTGTCCCAGTGGAGTCCTTCCCTGTCCAACTTGTAGTTGTTTACTAGGAACCACAGTGTGATCCTGACCAGACACACCAACCTGGCCCCAGCTGTCTCCCCTGCTAACTGGTTGTGTGTCCTGGTGCTGGAGACCATGACGTCTCTGAGCCTGTGTCCTCACCTGCCAGTGAGGGGCAGGCACACCCAGCCTGCAGGGTTATTGTGGGCCGCTTAGCCCAGCGCCTGTGTGCAGTAGGTAGAGCAGATGTTCCTGTTCTCTCTGCCTCCTCTCCTTTCTCATATCCCTTCTTACTCACTTTCCTTCTGCTTCCTAATACCCTTCCTTGCGCCCCTGAACCTGAGAGAGGGAAACTGCTGTCTCACCCCACCTGAGAGCCTTGTCTTCCATTAGAAGAAGCCACAGGGTGCTAGGCGGGGGCCAGATGACAATAGAGGTAGGCGTCTGCTCCTGCAGCTTTGGGCTGTGCACTTATGCATTCCTCAAGCAGAGCCCCTCCTCAGGGTGTGTGTGTGAGTGAGGATTGAACCCAGGAGTGCTCTACCAAGCTCCGTGCCCAGGTTTTTAATTTTGAGACATGGTCTCACTAAGTTGCCCAATCTGGCCTCAAAGTTGCGATGAAGTAGCTGGGGTTACAGGTGTGTGCCACYGCACCCAGCTTGGTGCTCCCCTGGTTCCAGGGCCCATGGCGTCTCTCTCCCTTCACCAGACAATGGAGCTTGCTCGGAATCCTGCAATGATGCAAGAGATGATGCGGAACCAGGACCGGGCCCTGAGTAACCTCGAGAGCATCCCTGGGGGTTACAATGCCCTGCGCCGCATGTACACCGACATCCAGGAGCCCATGTTCAGTGCTGCCCGGGAACAGGTGGGGCCAGGGGCTGGGCTAGGGGAGGGTCTGTCTGGCTTAGGATTCTCTGCCCCCTGCTGAGGCCAGCCTGGGCTGTTGCCTGCCCCTCCATCCTTCTGCAGTTCCCTGAAGGGTGGGCCTTGGCTAGGAGGCATTCTGCAGCAGTGCAAACCAGAAGAGTCCAGCTTGTCATGGGCTGAGGGTAGCACACAGCAGACATCCATAGAGAACTCGGTGAGGTGGTGTGTTTGAGGGACTTGACATTGTTTTGACAAACTTCTTGTATCAGGAGTTCAGAATTGTGGGGCAGACCTGGGTGGGGTCACGTCAGCCCTAGTACAGTGTGTCTCAAGTGTGGTCTGTGGCTTACCTGCATCAGCCTCACCTGGGGAGCTTGTTAATAATGAGATTCCTGCTCCCCAGCTCTGAGCAACATTTGCAATTAATCAACCTCCTACATCATGGCCTGGGATTATGCATTTTTTTTTTTTAAAGAGAGAGTGAGAGAGAGAGAGAGAGAATTTTTTTAATATTTATTTTTTAGTTCTCGGCGGACACAACATCTTTGTTGGTATGTGGTGCTGAGGATCGAACCCGGGTCATACGCATGCCAGGCGAGCGCGCTACCGCTTGAGCCACATCCCCAGCCCGGGATTATGCATTTTTAAAAATGCTTTATGAATTTATTCCAAATATACAAAAAGTATAGATAAAAATTTAGCATTCTCTTGTACCCAGGTTGCTGTATATATATATATATTTTTTTTTTTTTTTTAGTTGTAAATGGGTATAATACCTTTATTTGTTTATATGGTGCTGAGGATCAAACCCAATGCCTCATGCATGCGAGACAAGCACTCTACCACTGAGCCACAATGCCATCCTGCCACATATAATTTTAATTCCTTTCTTGGTTCTTTTTTTTTTTTTTTCTGGGATTGAACACGGGGCACTTTACCACTGAGCTGCAGTCCCAGGGCCCCCCTCCCCCTTTTTCTTTTGAGTCAGGTTCTCACTACATTGCTTAAGGTCTTGCTAAGTTGCTGAGGCTGGCCTCAAACTTGCCATCCTCCTGTCTCAGCCTCGAAACTTAATTTTATGTCAAACATATTATATATCTGTATGTTTCAAAATTCAGAAGTTACACAGGATAAAAAGTATTCAAAAAGTATGGAAAGTCATGCAGCCAAAAAAGGTATACAAAAGGGATCCTCTTGGGCTGGGGTTGGGGCTCAGTCAAATAAGTCGTTCTAGGTCGAGTCGTAGACTTCACTGGGATTCTCTGTCTCCTCAGCAGAAGGAGCTGCTCTCCCGAGGGCAGCGTTTATCATTGTATTCCTTTATTACTTTTGCACATATCCATGAACATCTCTAGTAYCCTTTCCCATACCAAACCTTGCGGAAGTGGTATCAGCTGTTCCTGTCACTCTAACTTGCTCCTTTTGAAACGTTTTATTGAAGATTAAGAGAACTACAGAAGAGTGACATACCCTCAAGTGTACAGCTTGATGAATTTCACAATTAACTAACACCCTGCTGTGAGGGCGGAACCCACCTGATTTGTTCCTGTGGAAAGGAAAGGGTCCATGTCCTGGGCGGCCCTGCTTTCCCAGCAGATGAGCCCTTCTTGAAGTCTCTTCCCTCCACCAAGTCTCCAAGCCGAGTTTTCTTTTGCTGGCTCTTCTGTTCCCCTATCCTGTCCCTCTCTCCCTACAACCATCCCTAATTGTCTTAATCAGCCTTGGTATCTGGTAGAGTGAAATCCCCACCATATTCTTCAGGACCATCTTGRTTATTCTTGGCATCGCTCTTTCAGATTTTTTAAATTGCTTGAGGGATCAACTGTGAATCTATTTTTATTTTATTTATTTGGGTACTGGAGATTGAACCCAGGGGCGCTTAACCACTGAGCCACATCCCCAGCCCTTTTTTATTTTTTCTTTTGAGACAGGATCTCACTAAGTTGCTTAGGGCCTCACTAAATTGCTGAGGCTGGCCTCCAACTTGTGATCCTCCTGCCTCAGTGTGCACTACCATACTTGGCTAAAATAAATAACATTCTGTTGAAAAATAAGTGTTTTCCAAGGCAAATAAAACTTTACAGGAAAGTTGGCCTTGTTTCACATTTTTGCAGATCTCTTTAATGCCTGGCTTTCTATACAAAACAGTTGGCTTCTCAGATCTTACTTGTTCCACTGAATGTCACCTTACGAAGCCTCTGGAAAACTACACTATATCCTCATGAGACAATAAGAGTGAAAAAGGCAAATTAATATCTTAGAATCATAAAAATCATTTTAAACCTTGCAGGATTCTGGGACCACACTTTGAGAACTAGGGTATTTGAGGGATCTTTTGAGCATTAGAATAAATAGTAGGTGTTCAATAAATAGCAGCTGCTATCACTGTGGGTTGTTAGGAAGAGAGTCTGTCAGGTGTACCAGGAAGAACAAAGCAGAGCTGAGAACTAGGTAGAGTAAGGTGCTAGGCGGATTACCAGAACAGGAAATCTGAAGCAGGGACAAAGATTGAAATTATGGTATGTGAACCCTGGCCTGCAAGCCCTGTTATCTGAACAGGCATCTGGTAAGGAGAAGGAACCACTGCTCAGAGAGGAGCCCTTGATCATCTGTGTTCCCATGGCCACTTAGAATAACAGGAAAAGTGACTGTGTAGGAAACCCCACGGTAGAGAGGGGCTGGGGCTGCTCAGAATACTCCTGCTTCCTTGCTTCAGGACCACCCGGAGCTCAGAGAGGGACTGCTGAGCTCTGCGACCCTGAGGAAGGCTAAGCAGTGCAGAAGGGTGTGGAACACCCGCAGCAAGTACAGCCCTGGAGCTCTGTCCCTCTGTCAGGAGTGCTGAGAGGGCACTCCTGGTTCCCTGAGGTGCAGACGTGGGCCACCCTCGGGAACACAGTGGGGGCCCTGGTACTGAGGCATGAGAGGGATCAAGACCTATTGGGCTGAAGACCCAGAGTAGGAGGTTCCTTTTGGGGCTCCACAAAAGAGGGGAAGGAGAAAACCTAGAAGAGGGCATGCGCAGCTAGAGGTGTACTCCACTAGAGGGCACCACCGTGGTGGGCCTGAATGGACAGAGAATGCTTCTTAAGGACCTGGAGAGTYGGGGAGAAGGTTCTGGGATTTAGCATCAGACTAAGAGGGCTGGGAGAAGGAGAGCTGGGGGTAGGTCAAGGTTGAATGAGAGGGCCAGGTCTAAGAGCCGCTCCCATCAAGTCAGCAGTTTTATTGAGCACCTACTAATATGGAGTTGAAGCTACAAAGGTAAATCTTTGCCCCTTGAAAGCTACAGGAAAACAAATATCTTATTACACAGTGGGAAAGGTGTGTGTAAAGTGCTTCAGGTCACAAAGAGAGAGAGAGACCAACTTAGAGCCACCAGGAAAGGAGGGAAGTTTCCAGTTATCTAAGGGATCAGTTCTGTGGTCATTAGCATCAGCCAGCTCCCACCCCCAGGGCAAGGGTGGAGCTGTCGGTCATTGGGCAAACAGCTGGGACCTGGAGTCCAAGTTCTTGATCTCCCTCCCTTTTCTGGGGGAGGGGAGTCTATTAGGAGAAAGAAGAGAAAGGGCATAGCCCTTGTCCCTAACTTGTTTCAGTCCTTAACCCAAAACCTTTCCCTCCTCCCAGTTTGGCAACAATCCCTTCTCTTCCCTGGCCGGGAACTCCGACAGCTCATCCTCCCAACCTCTGCGGACTGAGAATCGAGAGCCCCTCCCTAACCCCTGGAGCCCCTCGCCCCCCGCCTCCCAGGCCCCCGGGTCCGGTGGGGAGGGCACCGGAGGATCGGGGACCAGCCAGGTGCACCCGACAGTCTCGAACCCTTTTGGGATCAATGCGGCTAGCCTGGGGTCAGGTATGTCCTAGGGTGGAAGTTTAGTGGGGTCACCAGGGCAGTCCCCTGCCCCCAGGACTAAGTGGGATTCACACTGTTCCAGGATATTGAAAATAGGTGGGATTGTGTTAAGGCTACTGAGGGGGCTTAGCAGCCTAGAGTAGTGGCCCCACTGTTCGAGGGTGAGAGTTTGATTTTGGCCATGTCCTGACATCCCTGGGAGTGACCTGAACAATGGCTCGTGAATAAACCAGGTCCCGTTTCCCAGGCTCCATGAGCACCTTTGGTTCCATCCAGTGTAAATGGGCCAGAGTGGGAGGCGAGAGTGGGTGGGGTAGGCAAGGGTGGAGGAGAATCAGGGCAGACTTGGGGACAGGCAGATGTGTAAGTGACGGAGGTAGATGTGCAGGGCTGCCCTACACAGGCGGACAAGTGATGCACTGTGCAACCCTACAGAATGCCCCATTTGTCTGGACTCTGGCTGTACACATGGCCCTGGGGATGTCTTTGGTGGATGCCCTGATTTCTCTGTTCACTGGGAGATATCTAGAAGGGGAAAGTCCTTTCCCCTCCTGTGCTTCAGTGACCTTATCTATAAAATAGGGACTGGAATTTGGTCCATGGTTTTCAAATTGTGTTCCTGAGTTCTGGGGAGTCGGGACCATCTCCAGGATGAGGAAGAACCAAATAGGAGAGGCTCTCTGCCTCCTGTCCCAGCTCCAACCAGACCACTGACATACGTGGTTTCTGAGTGAGATTTGGCTTGAGGAAAGGGTCTCTGCTACTAAGACAAGTTTGAAAAACACTGGTCTAGGTGACATTTAATCCTTTCCAACTCAGACATTATCTGAGCTTGTGGCAGGAACAGTCCAGAAAGGGCATGAATTAGACCCAGTTTCTAGCTGGCTTGTTCTTAGAAAAGTGGATGGAGAAGTCCAGGCCAGAGAAGGACAGACTTTCCTCAGGCTCGGAGGGCTGGAGCCTTGCCACAGTACTTGGGTGCCCTTGAGCATTGCCTTTCTGAGTTTCATGACCATTCAGTGTCCAGAGTAAGGTAGACTGAAGTGAAGCATGTGGTTCCCATCTGGACCCCTTCTCTCCTGTTTTATTTCACCTTCCTCGTCCTAGGGATGTTCAACAGCCCAGAAATGCAGGCGCTCCTCCAGCAGATCTCTGAGAACCCCCAGCTGATGCAGAATGTGATTTCAGCCCCCTACATGCGCAGCATGATGCAGACACTTGCCCAGAACCCTGACTTTGCTGCTCAGGTATCAAACTGGCTCAGGGGAGTGTTGCTGGGGAGGGCTCCTTGAGTGAGAGCAGTTTCTCTGGGTCTAAACACTCTGGTTCGCCGGGCGTGGTGGCGCACACTTGCTATCCCAGCAGCTCAGGGGGCTGAGACAGGAGGATCTGAAGGTCAAAGCCAGCCTCAGCAACTTAGTGAGACTCTAAGCAATTCAGTAAGACGTTAAGCAACTCAGCGAGACCCTGTCTCTGAATAAAATATAAAAAGGGCTGAGGATATGGCTCAGTGGTTAAGTGCTCCTGGGTTCAATCCACGGTACAAAAAAAATCAAAAGCAAACTCTTTAACAAAAAGCACTGGGGCTCAGTGGTAGAGCGCTTACCTCACACCCATGAGGCACTGGGTTTGATCCCCAGCACCACATAAAATAAATAAATAAATAAACAAAATAAAGGTATTGTGTCCATCTACAAGTAAAAATACCCCCCCCAAAAAAAAACAAAACACTGTTGTTCTGGGCACAGTGGCAAAAACCTGCTGTTCTAGGGACTCAGGAGGCTGAGGTAGGAGGATAGCAAGTTCAAGAGTAGCCTCAGCAACTTGGCGAAACCTTTTCTCAAAATGAAAACTAAGAGGCTGGGGATGTGGCTCAGTGGTAGAGCGCGTGTTGGGAAGTTGAGGCCCTGGGTTTAACCCCTGCACAATCAAACAAAACACTGGGACTGCCAGACTGCCTGAGTTCTGCCACATCTCAGCTTCGTGAGCTAACAGTTATTTAACCTCCCAGTTTCCTCATCTGCAAAATGATATTAGACTACTTCCTGCCTCACTAGGTTAAAGGATTAGAAAAGTTAACACATGTCAAGTGCTTAGAACATAGTGTGCCACAAAGTAAGCCCCGTGTACTTGGAAGTGTTAGCTGGTGTCACCACCATCTGACCAGACTGAGCAGCCTGACATCTGACTCTTCATTTCTCAGAGCATGGTTCCATCTCCTTGCTGTCCCACGTGGGCCTTTAGGATATCTGAGGTCCTTGGGAGCCCTGGCCAGATTTCCTATAGTGGTGGGGGTTGTGGGGGTGGCTGAGGCTGTGGGCAGTTCTCCGGGTGGGAAGTTCCAGGCCTCTCTTCTACCTTCACTCTGGCAGATGATGGTGAATGTGCCCCTCTTTGCCGGGAACCCCCAACTGCAGGAGCAGCTCCGGCTGCAGCTCCCCGTCTTCCTGCAGCAGGTGAGTACGGGGCCTAGAGGGGCAGAACTGGGCTCTGGACTTAGGCTGCCTGCTCTTCCCACCACTCCCGCTGCCTGTCTCTTTCCCAGATGCAGAATCCGGAGTCCCTGTCTATCCTCACCAATCCCCGGGCCATGCAGGCCTTGCTGCAGATCCAGCAGGGACTGCAGACCTTACAGACTGAGGCCCCCGGGCTGGTACCCAGGTGAGGGCCAGTGCCCCCTTCCTCCCCTCTCTGCCCTCTCTGGCAGCCTTTGTGTCCCCGAGGATCTGCTGTCCCATCTCCCCCCGGCTGTTTTTCCTTCTGGATCTCATATCCCCACCTCTCTTGAATGCCGGCTCCTACCCTTGGCCTTTCCTGCCTGCAGCCTTGGCTCTTTTGGGATGTCCCGGACCACAGCGCCCTCAACGGGCAGCAGCTCTGGGTCTACGGCCGAGGGCCCCACGTCTTCGCCAGCCACGCCCGCCACGACTCCTCCCACCGGGGCTTCCAGTGCCCAGCAGCAGCTCATGCAGCAGATGATCCAGCTTTTGGCTGGGAGTGGAAACTCACAGGTAGCAGGGGCAGCAGGGCTGGTATTGGGCTCACCACTTCCCCCTGGGCAGCGTTAAGGGTAGCAGTAGACCAGAGGCAGCAGGGCCGGCTTTGCAGTCGGCCAGAGCTGGCTGGCCTACTATTCACCAGGCGCCGGCAGGCTACCAGCCACCCCTCAGTTCAGTTCCTACAGCTGTAAGGTGGAGTTGAATAGTGATAGTTCCCTGGTGTGCTCGGTACTGCTCCAGATGCTCTGTATAAGAGTTCATTACCTCATTCTTTTTTTTTTAGATATTGATGGACCTTTATTTTATTCATTTGTCTATATTCGGTGCAGAGGATTGAACCCAGTGCCTCACACATGCTAGGCCCTAGCCCCAGCCCCATTACCTTATTCTTAGGAGAAAGTTATTGTTAGTATTATCTCTGTATTACAAATGGGGAAACTGAGGCCCAGAGAGGTTCAGTGGATTCCTCATTTTCATAGCTAGTAAGTAAGAGAGCCATGATTCAAACCCAGGCATTCTGGTTCCAGAATTTATGCTTTCCACCCTCACCACTGGGAATTGAACCAGGGGTGCTCAACCATTGAGCTACTGCCCCAGCCCTTTAATTAATTTATTTATTTCTAATACCTTTGTTTTATTTATTTATTTTTATGTGGTGCTGAGGATCAAAGCCAGTGCCTCACACGTGAGAGGCAAGTGTTCTACCACTGAGCTACAGCCCAGCCCTTATTTTTAATTTTGAAACAGGGTCTTGCTGTTCTGAGGCTGTGGCTCAGCTGGTAGAGTGCTTGGCTAGCATGTGTGAAGCACTGGGTTCAATTCTCAGCACTGCATATAAATAAATAAAGTAAAGATCCATTGACAACCAAAAATAAATAAATAAATAAGAAGAAAAAAAGAAACCCGGCCTTGCTAAGTTTCCCAGGCTGGCCTTGAACTTGCAATCCCCTTGCCTCAGCTTCCAAATTGCTGAGATTACAGGCATATGCTGTGCCCAGCCAGAAGTATACCTTTTATTTATTTATTTGTTTACTTTTTGTGGTGCTGGGGATTGAACCCAGGGTTTTGTGCATGTGAGGCAAGCACTCTACCTCTTTTTTTTTTTTTTTTTAATTAGTTGTTGATGCATCTTTATTTATTTATGTGTGGTGCTGAGGATGGAACCCAGTGCCTCATACATGCTAGGCGAGTGCTCCACCACACATTCGACAACTGAGCAACCTTCCCAGCCCCTCGGGTATTTGTTTGGTAATTAAAACAGCTTCCACCTCCGAGACTTTGTTTTTTTTTTTTTAAATAAATTTTTATTTATTTTTTAGTTGTAGTTGGACACAACATCTCCATTTCACTTGTTTATTTTTTTTTAATGTGGTGCTGAGGATTGAACCCAGGGTTTTGCACATGTGAGGCAAGCGTTCTACCGCTAGCCACAACTCCAGCCCCCACCTCGGAGACTTTGGAAGGAGGAATCTGGAAGGATTACAGAGTCCTGGGCCACAAAGTCAAGGCTAGGGCTTGGAGTAGGGGAAGAGATACAGATGCCCTGGATTGTCTCTGACCTCTGTGACCCACAGGGAAAAGCTGCTCAACAAAATGTGTGTGAAGCCAGTGGTGGTCGTGCACACGTGTAATCCCAGCAACCTCAGAGGCTGAGGCAGAAGGATCGCAAGTTCGAGGCTAGCCTCAGCAGCTTAGTGGGGCTGTTAGCATTCTTAGCAAGACCCTGTCTCAAAATTTAAAAATAAGGGCTGGGGGTATAGCTCAATAGTAAAGCACTTGCCTAGCATGTGCATGGCCCTGGGTTCAATCCTTAGTATTACAATAAGAAGAGACCCAGACAGGTAGGGCTGGAGATGTGCCTCAGTGAGTGGTTGAGCACCCCTGGATTCAGTCCCTGGCACTGAAAAAAAAAAAAAGTGTGAAGCTACTCAGYCCCCCAGGAGACTGAGGCAGAGTATAACAAGTTCAAGGCCAGCGTCAGCAACCCAGCAAGACCCTGTCTAAAATTAAAAAGGGCTGGGAATGTAGCTCACTGGTGCCCGTGTTCAGTCCCTCCTACAGCTTCATACATACAGACATTCGGGTTTTTCCTGGGACCCTTTCTCTGGCCTCTTAATGTGGCTGTGTGTGTGATGACCGTCAGGAAGGAGCATGTTTGGCCTGCCTTTTATTTGGCCACAGAGCATTTGGCTTTTGGAGCACTTGTTAATATCTCCAGAATATTTATGGGAAATAGGAATATAAGGTGACCCAGGCCTATCAGGCACTTTGAGATTTCAAGTAAGATCCCTGACTTTTTATCATAGTTCTTCAGTGACTTGGGAGCTCTTCCCGGTGGCCTTCCTGTGCAGCCCCCTCCTCCCCACCCCACTGACTGAGGACGTCAGGGACCTGTTGGTGTTGTAAGCCCTTCAGCTTCAGCTACTCCTCTGGGGTGGGTTCTGTGCCCACTTCATAAGGCCTGTCCCCTCCAGGTGCAGACGCCAGAAGTGAGATTTCAGCAACAACTGGAGCAGCTCAACTCCATGGGTTTCATCAATCGTGAGGCCAATCTGCAGGCCCTGATTGCCACCGGAGGGGACATCAACGCAGCTATCGAGAGACTYCTGGGCTCCCAGCTCTCCTAATCCTTCGGCCCATGCCTCCTGCCTCTCCCCTGACCCAGTACCGACCTTTGGTTCCTCTGTCAGCCCCTAACCTCTGCAGCTTATCCCTCTGTCTTCTTCTTTGACTCTCCAAACAGTAGGGTGACCTTAGAGGCATGGGCCCAATGCCACCGCTCTG